CCAGGCAACAGGCAATAGGAACAGGCAATAGCCAATAGGAACAAGGAATAAAAAAATGACCAATCAGAATTTCTATTCTCTGTTCCTATTGCCTGTTGCCTGACATTCTGCAAGGGCCTTTACGTCCACGATAAATAACTATATAGGGAAATTTGAAAGTAGTGAAATCAGAGACTTACGTGGACGGTCAACAGAGTGATGACGAAGTCCCGGCCTAACCGCCGTCACGACAAGACGTGTTCGAACAAGTTCGGACCTTGTGATTTTTTTGGATCGTGTCTTGAAAATTTCCAAGACTTTGCTCTCGAATTATATCATTAATCGGAAACTGGCGTTGGGGCATTACTCTTAGAGAGGCCTGTAGCCAAATATTGAAGGAAGGAAGGAACAGAGTGATGACTCCGCTTTTGGGTCACTCTGCTTTTCACCGAGTTTACCCTGGGTCTCCGGAGTCTGGCGAAACGATCGATGAATCTGGCGAGAAATCAGTACTGCTCGTTCTCCTGGCTCGGTCTCGGATGTTTCGGCGCTGCGCGGGATGATGCGGCCCGCGATTCCGAATTTCGATTTCGCAACGTTCAAAAAATGAAGGGTAGGCAAAAGTAATTGCAACACAGTCGGATTTTACGACTAATATATTCCAAATAAGTACACGAGAATTACCAGAGACTAATTATGAGAAGAAATAATCGCCTTCTCAACAAATGCGCGCGTTTTTATATGTCGCTTTGTCGCTGACAGTCGTTTCCTGATTGGCTGATGGAGTCATGGAGATGGAAGAGATTCATCCCATCGGTATGATGTCACCGCGTCGATATCGCCGCGTCGGTCCTAAGTGATGTTTGAATTCAGTTTTCATGCTCCTGTTTATGTTAGCAGCGGGACGCCTTATCGCATTGAGCGATTATAGTTTCTCTTGTCTACAGTTGATTCATCGATTTTAAGACTCTCTAACGACACGCAATGTTTAGCGTTATAATTATAGGGTGCGTTCCGTTTCCACGCATAATGCGCATGAAGCGCAGCGTTAGAGTGACAGAAATACGAAAGTAAGATAAAATGAGAGGGAGAGCACTCGGGTGAGGTTCTCGAACCTAGGTTAGGTTAGTTCTCGAACGCATGAACTGCATCAGCTCCGAGGTAGTGCAGCTATGCGATCTCATGCGTTCGAGAACTAACCTAACCTAGGTTCGACACCTCACCCGAGAGCTCTCCCTCTCTTTTTATCTCACTCTCGTATCTCTGTCACTCTAACGCTGCGTTTCATGCGCATCATGCGTGGAAACGGAACGCACCCTTAATTATAATATTTAACGTGCGCGAATATACATATGCGCACATACTTACGTCTAGTAACATAGGTATAAAATATCTAGTGATGTCTGAAATCAGACAAGTCGGCCTCCGATCTATATTAATATATTATTAATGTTTCAAAATAAGTTCGAACGTTACAAGAGACACTTAACGCAGAGTGTGCTTAGCCAAAGATTGAACTGAACTGAACTGGTTCTGGGTTAATCGCTCCGAGAGCGATTAATGGCGTCATAAGTCTCTACTAGCCAATTATAAAGCTTATAAGTATTTGTTTGACCAATAAACGTAGGCTGAATAACACAGAGTGGGTTAACCCAGAGCCAGTCGAACATGCTATAAATTCTGCTGCACCGTTGGAAAGAACAGTAACCTCTGACGTTACTTCTGCTAGAAAGAACGCACCAGTGTACACTTCTTGAACTAGTGCAAGAAGTTCAGCTGGAAAGAACAAACCTATAGACATTTGTGGTATTGGCACATGGTTGCGCCTTTAGAAGTAAACTGTTTACGTCCACTATAGTAAAATATAACACAAATGGATAATCAATACAAGTGTGTATTTTATTTTTTAAACAAATTTATAAAGTGTATGATAATAAGTAAAGAATTTATGTAAATTTTTCTATGAAAATGATTCAACAAACCATTGCTCTTATCTATTTCTTAATAAGATATTTCTTATAAGGATATATTTGTAAATTTATAAACTAAATTTATGAAACACTGTGAAAGATTTGAAAATTAAACAATTTGGATAAATATTTCGAATACAAACTTTATAGTTTTTTATGAAATGTTGCTTATTCAATGCTTGTTAATATATAGAACATGATTCATTAAGTTAACATAATCTTTTCACAGTGTAACAACAATAATTATCAAAATTGACATTTTTTTTATATAATAAAATTTGTTATACAATTTATGTATAGTATATGCACGAGCATGTATTAAAACCACCTTTGTATGATTTTATTTATTATAAAACTCATTATAACATTTGTCTGACTTTAGTTTTATGTAAATAATATGTGTTGTAATTTATTTAATTTTTGCAGAACAATTCATCCTGTAAAATATTTGCAGGATCATTTTGTAAGTATTCTATGCATATTGATATCTGAATAAAAAATTGAAATTGAAAAATTTTTTTAAATAATGGCCTGATACTCTTGTAGGTGCAAAATATTCGACCAGATGGCAGGAAATTCCTGTCTTTCCGACCAATAAATATTAATGTTTCATCAATTGTTCAAGCAGATGGTTCAGCGATATTCAAGTTGGGCAATACAACTGTGGTGTGCGGCATTAAAGCTGTAAATATATTTTATTAAAATTTGTTAATTTATTTTTTAGAAATTTGCCAAATTCATAATTTATTAAAATATATTTTGTATTTTATTAATATATACAAATATATTTTATATTTTGAAATTTATTCTCAAACTTATTTATGTTTGTATTGAAGAGATTAGTTATGTAAATACTGTTTTTTTTTTATTGCAATTAAAGGTACAGTTTTCTTAATATGTTGAGAAAGCTATCAGTAATTGACTACAATTGTACCATTGTTTCAGGAATTAGCGACACCAAGAACAGATACTCCAGAATATGGTTATATTGTACCAAATGTTGAATTATCTCCACTGTGTTCTCCCAAGTTTCGTCCAGGCCCACCAAATGAGCAAGCGCAAGTGATTTCCAAACTAATAGATACAATATTGAAAAATTCCACCGCACTTGACTTAACAGATCTTTGCATCTGTAAAAGAAAACTGGTATGGGTTTTATATTGTGACATGTTGTGCTTAAATTATAATGGCTCGGTCATAGATGCTTGCACAGGCGCATTGATCGCAGCTCTCAAAACATGTAAGTTACACGTGTTGTACATTACTGCCTTGAGAATATCTGTTTTCTACTGCCACTGCAAAGAAAAAAAACTTCCTTCACAGTAACTCTACCTGAAGTAAATTACAATTCGGAAACGGGAGTCATTGTTGTGCACCCAAAAAAGAGAAAGCTATTCGTTATGAGAACGCTGCCAGTTTCTACATCATTCGCAATATTTGAGAAGTTGATTTCACTTTATTCTCGGTAAATATGCTCACGTATTTCGTCCTTTTAATTAATTTCTTGACGTTTCCAGACAAATGTTAATTGCTGATCCTACAGACGAAGAGGAAAGCTCGTCGTTAGGAAGATTATTTATTGTAATAGATAGTGAAGAAGAAATTTGTTATGTGCATAAACCAGGTATGTATTTCTTACTTCTATGATAGAGTGTATGTGTGTATATATAATTATTATAAATCTTACATAGGTGGTGTTCCAATATCACAAAATTTGTTTTCCAAGGCAGTAGAAATAGCAAAAACCAGAGCAAACCTAGTCCAATCATTGATCCACGCTGCTATCTCGACGTTGAAAGTTAAAACAAATATTTGAATATTTTAAAAAATAAAACACTTGTTTTTGTTTTATTATTATGCATGTGTTATTTCTGACCTCAGATATATAAAAGTGTAAAGTAACATTATATAGTAAGCAGTATTGGTTGATGCTGAAAATTGTACATATTTAATTTTAATTAAATTAACATAAATATATAACACAGAGAAAATTGATATAAAAAAATTCACAAGTTGCCTTTTTTTAGTTATTTTGTTACATTCACATTTAAAACAAAAACTGAAGAGATTTGGTGTCATACATAAATTTGTATTGAATTTACATATATACCGACATATATGGTAATTTATATAATTTTAGATTTCAACTATAAAGTTCTTCCTTATTTTGTGACCATGTTACTGAACATTTATACACAGCAGTTTTTAAGAAAGTAATTTTGATGAGTATAGCAAATTAATTGTGAACACTTATATCAGTCTTTTTTCTTAAAGTACGCAAAAACAGAATGTACATTTGAATATAATAATGCATAATGGTACATTAATTTAATATAAACATGCTTTCCTCATAATTCTGAGAAATTCTTCTTGGGATATTTCTCCATCACCATCTTTATCTGCTTCATCAATCATTTCTTGAATCTCCTCATCAGTCAAAGTCTCTCCTAACTCATTTGCTACTCTTTTCAGATTTTTAAATGATATTTTTCCTGTGTCATCATCGTCAAAGAGACGAAAAGCTCTCAGTACTTCTTCCTTTGAATCTTTTTCTGACATTTTTATTGTCATTATATCCAAGAATTCTTCAAAAGATAACTTGCCAACACCATCTGGATCAGCATCTGTCATAAGCTTCTTCAGTTCCTCTTTGGTTGGCTCAATGCCCAAAGCTCTAATAGCAACTTTAAGTTCCTTGGTGGCAATCTTTCCAGTACCATCTGGATCAAACAAATCAAAAGCTTCTTTTATGTCAGCTTTCTGTTCCTCTGTAAGTTCAAATTTCATTGTGTTTCTCTTGCGGACAAGACCACTGGTTTGCTTTTTAGATGTAGATGCCTGTAAGAAAGTAAAAGTAAATATAGTAGTATGATAAGATATATACTATTCTATATAGCACAAATGTTCACTAGATATCCTAAGAATGTTCTAAGAATATTCGAATATTCTTAGAATGTTCTCAGAATATCTAGTGAACATTTGTGTTGTATGGGATATAATATCAAGAAAAAAACTGAATAGGAAGAAGTATAGTAATATGATTAAATATATACTATATAATGTCAAGAAGAAAACAGAATAGAAAGAATACAACTTAAAAATACTTATTGCAAAATTGTATTAATTACCATGTGTTCAATCTGTAATTTGCTGTATTGACTATATAAATTGGTAATTGTCCCACTTATCTACGATGACTTTCAGGCACTTATTTGCAGCACTGTAAATAGCAGTGTAAGGACTGTCTCGTTATTCCCGCTAAGCACGCAACCGTAGCTATCACTTTCATTATATATTGAGAAGGATTAGTTTGATCGATACATGACTTAGTCATCATACGTCTTTGAAGTCAATTGCTATGAAAGCGTACGCAAACAATGCGTAAATACGTCTAATGACAGAATACCAGACACAAATTGAGCCGGTATCCCGAGCAATACATCGAAGCCACCGAAACTGCGATTTTTAGGTTAGGCCGAGTCACGTTAGATTGTTATTTCAATGTTCACACTTCGACAAAATTCATTACATCTCGCGAATTCTATTCTACGTCTTTTTGTTTGTTATGAATGCGTTTATATCGATTTTACAAATACTTTTAAAAAATTACACCGATAAAGTAGATTTCTGCTTTCATATACAGCAATTAAAAAATTTCTGAATTCTCTTCAATTTTTTATTGGCTTCCGAAATTTTAAGAAGCGAGATTTATAGAATTATTTCGCAGTCTTTGTTTTGCGTAGACAATATTTTACATTTATTGTACATGCATTTACAAAGCATAAAAATTAATGATGATAATTGTTCTATTGATATTTCATCGTGATATTTTTATATCTCCCGAATCATTTCTTTTCTCGAATGTCTGTTATTTATTTCTCAAGAAGCTGCTCGTTTACGTTTATATTTGATTCTAATCGCCTCTGCCATCTCCTACTTTTCCAACTGTGTCTCATTCCCTTCTTTTTCTTCCTCGAGCACTTCTTCATCTTCATCTTTCTTTTCCACGTCTTCTTCAGGCCTTTGCTCTGGCTCGACTTTTTCATCTCCTACCTCATCTTTCTCCCCATTTTCTCTCCTATGTATTGTGTCCTCACTCTTTTCCTCCGTCTCATATTTCTGTTCCCAGTACTCCACTTCACTGTCTGTTTCCTCATTATCCACCTCCATCTTTTTCATCTCCTTCTTCTTGTAATACTCCTCCAAAGCTTCTTTATCAGCCTCAGCAACTTCAACGAGTATCTCGGCTATCCAACAAGCTATCATTTCAGCTAAAAGATGCAATTGCTGCATCGCTCGATCATCGTTCCCATTACGTGCATCCGTATATTCGTCGACAGACATCAGGCGTTTCAATATCACGCGTGTGATTTCGCGAAGATCCTTTCTTTGTGTTTGACATTGGCGTTCTACAATGCTTTTGACGAAATTCACTGCTAACAGGTACTGGCACAACGCCACATTTCTGTCCAGCATCGGCGACGCTTGTTCTAACTTTGTAATTTCTCCGGTCCATTTTTTCCTAAGCTGTGGGAATCGCGTTGTCTTCTTCGTTTTGCGTTTCTTGAGGCGTAGGACTCGCGCGGCTTCCCTACGACGAGCCGACGAAATCATAAGAATTGTATTAACACATGTGCATTTGTTTTAGCTCGAACCCATTCGATATGTAGAGGAAGCGAGCGAAAAAGTAATTTTAAAGACAGAAAGTTAAAATGAGAACGATTGTGTAATAAATTACTCTGGGCTTAATAAGCAGGTTTTGGCCTCGATGATCTTTTGAAGGTTATCCACTGCTGCTAGTGGCAGTACCCATGCTTTATCTCGTAACGTGGACAATACATTGTTTATCATTGGCCGAGCTAATTCCTCGATTCGAGGCGATACACGTTTTACAGGTACTTTTGACACAGCAGGCTACACATTTGTAAAACAAAAAACACGATGGGATAAGTAATCTTTAATAGAAAAGAATTTAACAAGATTAAGTATAGAGTTTCTTTTTATTTGTGTAATGCAAAAGCGCAATAACGCATAAGATAACAACAAGAAGGACAATAAAATATTTCTAGATTTATAGCTGTATAAACATAAACATTGAAATAATAAAGTTATCCCTGAACATCGAAGGTATCAACGTTACAATTTCCTAGTCAACAATGTAAAATAAACCGTTAAATATACTATGTGTTATATTACACTGTTGAATTGGAAATTATAATATTATAATTTAACGTTATTTCATGTTTACTGGGTACAATACTTTTATGGTTTTTGGCGTTGGTTTCGAGCGCGGCTTCTCCTTGATTTTTTCTTGTTCTAATTGTGGAACAAAGTGCACTTCGAGTACTTCGTTCTGTTTATCTTTGGCGACTTCTGTTTCCACGACATTGGCTTCCTTTGAAAGCTCATCGTAATTTGCGGTCATGATTGTGTTCTGAACTAACACGAAGCACGACAGAATAAAGTGTAAGAAATGTAATGTTAGAGTCTTTGAGTGAAAAATTTCTCACGTTCAATTTTCCTTACGGACGATGCGTCGTTATGTATATTAGATTAGTCGTTTCTGCACTGAGATTGCTAAGAATCATTCGTTACGCATCTTGTGCTGGTTAGAGACACGGTAATTTGGAAATGCTGTCCATGAATAACGTATGAAGGCGATATATCATCTTAGCGATTAATTGCATGTTTGAAAAGATTATATGTTTGAAATTTTTCATCCATGTCTAGATCACCCGTCAAATTTCTTAACGTTTCATGGCACAATATCAATGAGCAATTATCTTTTGTTTTATTGTTATTATTTTGTTTTAAAGAGATATTTTTTTTACACATAATTTGGATATTTTTTTTACACATAAATTATGATACTCTCTACGTGTAAACGACAAACTATGTCACTTGTATGGACAATGAGTAATCTATGAATGCTGTTTAAGGAGTGTATGGTTTGCTAAAAAAAATTAATTAAAAAAAGTTTATATTTCTTTTATTCAGTTCCTAGAATCCTGATGTATAAATTCATGAATGATTGTTTAATAAACAAACTAGTTACTGTCATCACGAAGCGAAATGCCAAGATGACGATGCTCCACCTTCGGTGAAAATTAAAGAGAAGAAGAGATATAACAGTTTGTTTGGTCAATCTTGCCAATAGTTATGGAAATGAAAACAAATGTCGGTAAAAAAGGTACAGACTTTATCGATTCTTTGCTTTACCGACATTTGGTCGGTAAGACCGACCAAACGAAGTGTCATCTTCTTCCTCTTAACATTCACCGAAGGTGGCGCATCCTCTTCTTGGCATTTCGCTTGGCGGCGACAGTAGTCCGTTCGTTTGTTAATCGATCACTCCGGGAGTCGCTGTGCGTGAATCGGTCGCTCGGTGACGCGAGATCGTTGTCGGTGGTTTTTGCGCGCGCGAGGGAAGGTGGGGAAGAGGTTGGTCGAGAACGAACGAGCGGGCGAGCGAACGGACGGACAAACGGACAGAGACGACCTCGAGGCGGTGACGGTCCGAGAATAATAAGCGTGCGTTTCAACGCTACGTCACATCCGGAGGAGATGTAGTTGCAAACGCAGTGCGTTAGTTAACGACGTGAACGCGTCGTTCGTTCTTTCCCACGGATGTTCTCGACGGTAGTGGGCAGAGCGGGAGACGCATATTCGAGATGTAAGCGCTGGACCGACGTTGCTTAATCGACAGCTCAACGAGAGGCCGATCGGAGGACCGCCAAGGAAAAGGATCGCTGTCGCGGTATACGGGGACCCAGACGCTATGACGAGATAACAGATGCAGAATGAGATACAGCAGCGGTAACCTATTTGGTTATGCGTGGCTCACGTTCACCCTTACTCGACTCAAGGGTGAGTTCATTGCTCACGCGTGCATAATAATCGTTATGTCTTGTCGCCCAGTCCCACCTTGTCCGTCTGCTGGCCCCTCTGCGGGAGGCTTTCATCTCCCTTGTATTTTTGTAACGCCATCGATTGCATTCCGCGTATTCGCCCGCGTGTTTGCTCAAAGTCGGTCGCTCGAGAGCTGTCAGAAAAATGGGGCACGTTCTATATGCTATGCAAAGGTGCACATACGCGCGCGCAAGTGTCTCCTCGTGTTGGAAGCTGTCGTTTTACCCGCGCGTGTGCGTGCGTGTGGTGTGTGTGCGCGCGCGCGCGTGTACCCTTGCGTACGCAAGTCGTGTTTTCAAGTGTTACATCTCAATTACCAGCGGTCTGTCAATTAAGCCGCGATTTCAATTAGTTTCAATTACGAGTAAAATTTCAAATTGAAAAGCGGTACACTTTCGATGCGCTTTGTTGCTGCATTTCATAGAAAATGGAGCGCGAGACATTTCGCGACGATTGACGCGTTCAAATCTTATTCTCGTCTATTTTGCATCCGGTTCCGTAATCAACGGGCTTCATAAAAAGGACATTTGAATATATATGATAACACGCGTGACAAACACGTAATGTTTTTTCAACATTACATGACGTTATTTATGCGGGCGAGAGAAACATATCATGCATTATTTGCTACTGGAGACTGTTTTTTCTCTTCTTATGATTCAATCTCACGTCATCTTTTTGCTTTTGAACAAGCACGTAATAATAAGTATATCTGTTGACATTTATAGTACATGCAGAAGGCGGAGTTGCTTGCAAAGATCAACATGGGCGCTCCTACGAAAGTGGCTTCCACTACATACCTGGACCTGAGCCTTGCACCTTCTGCATCTGCGACAATGGCAACCCAAAGTTGTGTAAAGCTTTCATCTGCAAGTTTCTCGAGGTATATTCACTATCAATGTTTAAGTTTTTGATAATACACACAGATTGCCACAACCGCCTTGACACATCAAGTTCTTTTAGAGCACACAATGTATTTTTTATGAGAAGCTTTATAAAATCTTGTGTTAAGGCTATCTGTGTACGTTGTGCACTGTACAGTCAATGGAAGAAAATTGCAACACTTATCTCGATGAAGTTCAAAATGCATTCATGTGTTGAGACTATTATGCTGGTCTGTGTATATTGTACACTGTACAGTCAATGGCAGAAAATTGCAACATTTATTTTTTTGAACTTCAGAATGCATTCAGCATCTAATAGAAAAATTATCTCCTGGGCATTGCTCAAAAATAAATTCCCTTATTGGGCAAGGATACGTTGGAAAATTTACTGCTCATGAAAAAAGAACTGCAACCTTTCTCCCACTGACTATACACTTAGCGCTAAAAATAGAAAAATTCCAAAGTTTCTAAGAATATATTGGACTCAACTGTATAAATAATCGCGCATGATATACTTCTTTGCGATGCACGTTTTTTTCCACATTTTGGGACGGTAACTCCTTGTTCCAAGCGAAATTTTATTTCCATTGTACAAAAATTATATATAGTGCTTTCTCAGATTGAATAAGAGCAATTATATTTTGTGTTAAATGTCGAATACAAGAATGCACAGACAATGATAGTTAACACATTGACTATCACGTTGATTTTATAAAAGTTTAACGGATGATTGAATTATCAAAGACATGGTAAATAAATGTAATATGAGACGCGCTTATCTTTTACCTCGCCTTGTTATCTCTTTATTGGTCATGTAATCAATTTCTCAAATGCAGTTATACTTTACATGTAACTTCATGATACACTGTAATATCATAATTCCGGTCACTGGTGACCGACAATTCATCGCGCTAATTGTCTCAACAAGTCGCGAAATTACACAGGTAATTGTCATCGAAATCGAGTCGAAATTACAAGCTATAGGTAAGTGCGCATAATAAAAGTTACATGAAGTTTTTTCTCTGTGTGCGACAGGAGGATTGCAAATCCTTTCGTCGGGGCGATGCCTGCTGTGAGTTCATCTGTTTGGACGACACACTGCCATCGATATCCAATGACAAGTCCGATGGAACGGGAACCAACATAATGGATGGGAATGCAAATTACGACTTGGGCTTACGATCGGTTGCCAGTTTTGTCACAGCGATATTATCAATGAGTCTGTTATTCTTTCTAATACATCGTCTGCGTCAGCGCAAGATACAAGGTAAGAGATAACGACGTCTCTATTTCATAGGATATCTCGAGTCAGTTAAGAAAAAAGAAAAAAAAAAGAATTCTGTAATTCCAATCCCGGGCTGTGTAGTATTAAACGTTCATTGGGCCGTTTCGATTTGTTTGACCTTCCACAATAAAAATGTAGTACGTGGTATATCAGTTTGTGTGGCAGGTCGGGAGAACAGACAAATCGGAGAGGACCAAAGAAGCTTAGGTAATATGGGATATTTGGAGAGAGGCGGTTTGCTGCACGGGGTGCCCATGGACGACATACCTTGTGGCACCGGCTATTCATTGTGGAAACCACCCGGCAATTACTTCCCGCGCGGGGAAGCGCCCCCGCCGTATGAGGAGGCGGTCGCCGCCGCGAGGGCGGAACAAGCATTGCTGTCGATGAATCCGCACACGTTGTTGTCGATGAATTTCTCAGACAACTACATATCGAGCGGCAATAATCACTCGGGCATAGCGGTCGTCGCGAACACCCCGAACGAATTAACCGTGAACACGCAGCCGTTGTCCAATGATAGTCATATAAATGCGCCCTTGATGTCCTCGTCTTCGAATAGACCGCTCTCAAGCCCCGGCACGTACGCGAATTACCGACCGGTTAGCCAGAGCAGCACCACGTCCACCGGTCTGAACACGAGTACTTCCACCACGAGTTTCACCATGGGGACGAATATGTACGAGAATCTGCCCGTCTCGATCGGCACAACGAGCTTCAACGAAGGCTCCGGTCAACATTCCGGCGGCGGCGCGCTTTCCGCCAGCGGCCACGTGTCCGCGCAGCAGCAACCGGTGCTGCCGATATCGCATTCCACAATACCTAAGAGTTATCGTCAGCACACGACGACCTTCCCGCGCCAAAGCGGCGGTGCGTTCACGATATCGGCCACTTTGTCGAATTCCGATGTGTCATCGTCTCACCGCACGATTCCGAGAACGCTGACCACTCAGCGTGTCGTGACCGCCGGCAGGGCGAAGGACGTCTCAACCGACTGCTCTGCAAAGGATTACCTTCGCCTGTCACCTGGCAATATCGCACCGCAGAATCTGCATTCCGTGCAACTATCTCCCGCGGCTGTCCCGGCTAATTACAAGGATACCAAAGACTCGGACGTGTTTTACGCGGACGTTCCGGTAGCGTCGGCGTCCGCTCTTTCACAGCCTTCGGATTGCATCCCGACATATACGGCGCACATGACGGACGTGTCTGAGAAGACGCGCGAGTTTAAGGTACGACATTGCATATTGTTGAACCGAGACGGTAATTGAAAAAAGGCTATGAGAAGCGAGAAGTGTCTCGTTCTTCTCCAAAAAGAAGACATTGTGGCTTTCGCATGTTCTTCTTTCAACCACTGCCTCGATTAGATATATGTGTGTAATTTTTCATTATATTTCACGAAGAAATGTATTACAATACATTTCTCTACGACGCAACATATATTGCATGATATACTTATTTGCGGAATATCTATGAATAATGTTTTCCAATTCTGCAATCCGTTCCATCTCTTTGCAGCCTTCGCTGAGCGCAGCTAACGAGATCAATGCAAGCGGCAGCTTCGAGTCGGTAGCGTGTACTTGCAGTATGCAAGCATTGCCGACTCTGCATGATGACACGGATGATTATCGGAGTGAGTGCGAGAACTGTAAGAGTGCGACGGGTTCTCGTTATTATTTAGATAATGAGGACGAACTAGTTACGTCTCTTCACGAAACCATGACACTGCACAGAAGACCAGACGATGCAGCATCAAGTGCCACGCCACAGTATTATAGAACTTCACTTACACTGCCGACGAGTACACGCCAACGTACAAGGTGATATTATCTCTTAGTGTTCTCTTTTTTTGGCAATTGACAGATATGATTTATTTTTTTCTTACTCGTATTTACTTTTTTTTCTATATGTATACAGAGTGTCCCATTTTAAATGCTCCAGGCAAAAATCTTGAAAAATATGGAAGATATGGAAAAATGTTTCAGACAAAAGTTGCATGATTTGAAGGGGACCACGTGATGAAAATATCGACTTGACCTTGAGTGACCTTTTCAAGACCAGGTCAATGTGATCGATGTTTTCTCAAATAGAATCTCTCATTTTTTTATTGCATATTTTTATAGCTCTTGTCGAGACGTTTTCAAAACACTATCTACTTTTGTCTTTTGCCTAAGTCATTCTTAAAATATGAAGCTTCAAAGTTGACATACCGCCGGCATTCACATTACCCGATGTACACCGTGGGGAGGTTGCTCGGTCGAATTTATATATCATAGTGGCTCTAAAAAGCGCCAATGTGTGTGTGTGAGTATTCGTGCGTGTGTGTGTGTGTGTGTGTGTGTTAAGCAGAAATTGTGAATGTAAAATTAGACCAATAGATGTTCAAATATCAGCCATTTACTTCAATGTATAAGTTTACACGATTTCGAAAACTGTTCTTTACCCTCTGCAATGTTGATGCTGAGATATTTCGACATGTTTCCACAATACGACGTTTCATATCTTCGGGTGTCGTAGGCTCAACTTGGTAAATAATATTTTTCAAATAGCCCCATAGAAAAAAATTCAAAGCAGTCAAGTCTGGTAAACGTGAAGGAAATTCTACAGTTCTATTTATACCAAGCCAGCTATTTCGAAAAACCGTATTCAGCGTCCCACGAACAGCACAAGCTTTATGAGCGGTGCGCCATCTTGCTGAAACCATAGGCGTTGTCTTGTGTGCAAATCAATATTCTCCAAAAGTATTGATAATTAATTTCGAAAAAAGTTGTTATAACGCTTAGCTGTTAAATGGTCGTCAAAGAAGCGTAGCCCTACATGTCTATTCACTACATGTCTATTCACTAATCCATACCATATGTTAAAACTTGATGTTGATGCGGTATTTGCCTAAGCCAGTGGAGATTCTGTTTCGACTAATAACGATAATTATAACGAATTACTTGGCCTCGGTTATTAAAATTAGCTTCATTCAAAAACATTACGTATGAAAAAAAATTGGGATTTTGATTCATTTGTCGACGGGTCTATTGGCGAAAGCGCAATCTACAACAATGGTCATTATCATTCAACTCTTGATGCAGGATAATGCGATATGGATAGAATTTGTATTGTATCCCAAATATCACGATGAACGTGGCACATTATGAAGACGTTCAATTTGTCTGAGACTTGTATTAGGATTTAATGTAGCAACTAACACATTAATTTCACGGAGAGATGAAACTTGACGTCGACGACGACGTCGTTTTACATGGCCATCTTTTACTCTTTGAACACAACGTTTAATTGTTTTATGATCTGGGTCGCTATGCATAAATACGTGAAGCCTATCTAAAATCACCACCACTTGCTCTTAAGTAAAGGGCCATGTCCACAATTTCTTCGGGAAGATAATCGGGCATTATAAAATTAATCAGAAATACAATTATGGGAATGACCAAAATGCAAAAATAAGATGTATCAGTGAGAGAAAATGCAATAAGCGAATAGTAATATTTAGTGAACTATGTCGATAAGGAATTCGTACTAGTAGTTCGAAATGGAATTCAAAGTGTTTATTAATAACAGACAAAAGACAGTAAGATACTTCACCCTCTCCGCAGTGTACATCGGGTAATGCGAATGCCGGCGGTATGTCAACTTTGAAACTTCATATTTTAGGAATGGTTTGAGCAAAAGACAAAAGTAGGTAATGTTTTGAAAACGTTTCAATAAGAGCTACAAGAATATGCAATAAAAAATGAGAAATTCCATTTAAGAAAACATCGATCACATTGACCTGGTCTTGAAAAAGTCACTCAAGGTCGATATTTTCATCATGCAGCTCTCTTCAAACTATGCAACTTTTGTCTGAAATATTTTTCAATATCTTCCATATTTTTAGAAATTTTTCCTGGGGCATTTAAAATGGGACACCCTGTATATATGATCACACTTTGTGAGAACGTAGAATGGATTGAGGTGAGCAAGAAAGTTCTGTGCTATTTTGCGATATTCGCAATAATAGTCGAGATATTAATTAAAAAAAGATTGGTGAATGATCACGCGCAATATGGTAGATGACCTGCAGTGGTGCCGTCTGCCGTTGTATACTTTTACATTAAGTCAAACTGAACAAAAAAGTCCTTTACCATTTTGTAAATGATCACATAGATTTTTAAATATTAATTAAAGAAAATTTGTGCATTATAGTATACATATCAATTACAATCATATATGTAACAATATATGTAACAATTTCCTTTAATATTTAAATATGTATATAATTAATGAGATTTATATGCTTTAATATTATATATATATATATATATATATATATATATATATATATGTATTTACGATATGTGAACATATTTTTATTATTAATTAAGTGTACATTCTTTCATATCGATGCGTAAAAATGAATCGCTGAAATAACTTCCTAAAGAAATTCATAAGATATTTTTGTTATCTAGGATTACCGGGGCTCGTGAAAATTGGTTCAGCACTATGCCAGAAAGTTCCAGCGGATCTTCCGACGAGAACTAAGTATTACAAAAATAGAGGACAATGTTTAAGCGCGCAAATGAAATTAATATACACATATAGTATCTATATGTTATATACATAAGTATTAAAACTATCTATACAGAATGTCTCAGAATTATCGCACTTCTCCTCTCATAGATATCATCATTGCTCATGTGTCGATACATCAATAATTTTCGCATCGTTAAAGAAAGATCGAGGTGAAAATATTCAAAAAATCGGTGTATAAGATTTGACACGACATTACGCGGGGAAGCTCCCAAATGTTCACGAATTTTTCCATTTATTCGGTATGGCGATAGTCTGAGTCTTCCAGAATATTTAACTTCTCTACTCTCCATGTGACATCAGCGCAGGGAAAGCTCCCTAATTTTCGCGATTTTTTCTATTTATTCGGTATGGCGATAGCCTGAGTCTTCCAGAATATTTAGCTTCTCTACTCTACATATAATATCAGCGTTTGAGAGAAACTGCCAATCTTTTGGGACATTCTTTATAGAGATTGTCGTCATTATTGTTATCAGCATTATTATCGTCATCATCAGAACAATATCATTATAATCGACATCATAATCATTATTATTACCATCATCATCATAGTCATTATCATCATCACCATCATCAGATAGTGAAAGTTTGTTAGAATTCATGGTGAAGTTTCCGAATCTGAGATGCGTTAAAGCAGTTTAACTGCTCTAGCGAATAGCAGAGCAGAGGAGAGATGTTCATATTAAGATATAAACAAACAAGGCAATATATTGTTTATCATATATTTATTATTATCACATGTATTTCTACTTCGTAAGGATAACCGATTGTGATGCTTGTATTCTTTACCCATTGATCTGTCATAAATATCCGGATAATACTCCTGAAACAATTGGAAAATTTCCGACACATCGCTAGAAAATGGAAAGCTGTTCCCTATTGAGACGATGATCTTCATGCGACGATAAAAGATGACTGCTATCGTCTGTTTGTGTCGCATAGCGACGATAAATAGATAGATAATTAGATAGATATAGAAGTAGATAGATAGATGAATGTTTATTCTACTCTGGGGTGGAACCCCGTAGGGCACAAAGTAAAAAAGAAATACAAAATCTACTTAAATATTAAAAGGAGATGTGGAGGAACGCGGTTACGATAAACAATGTGTGATAGAAATACAAGTACTGTGACACAGTATCATTACTTAATTATCTTCAAACTTGTCAGAAAAGTAAAAAAGCAAAACGCAAGAATAAAAAGAAAGAATAAAAAGAAGTGAATAAAAGAAAGAAGAAATCAAAGATACGAATTATCGTATAAGGTAGGGCAGATTCTTGTAAACATAGAATTTGTTTTCTCTTACAGTTAAAGAGAGAAAAGGAAAGGAAAAGAAGAGATGAAAAAAAAACTAGTCATCAGGTGAAAAGTTTTAAAGGAGAGGAAACTACGACTGTAGAAAATTCTGTAAATTCTAACACGACATGTATAGACAAAGGGAGATTTTCGATTTAGGGACTCATTGTTCTGGTTGAGAACGAGAGAAACGTAAATAAGAAAATAATTGTCTATAAGATAGAAAATAAAAAGTAAGCAAGGGATTTGCAAAAGCGTGTGTCGATATCATTATTTGGGAAGTTTCATAGTGAAATCTCATAAACTTTCGCACTTTATTTTTACTTTTGTTGTCACCACCACCACCACTATCACCACCGCCACCGCCACCGCCACCACCACCATCACCACCATCACCATCATTACCACCATCACCATCATCTTCATCATCATCATTATCATCATCATCATCGCCATTATCATTATTATTATCACTGTCATCATTTTCACTTTTATCATTACAATCATTATGTTACACAACTGTTACCATTACATTTTTGTTTTAAGTATTCAGTTTATCTGTGGACAAGCAAATAAATTATTCAATTAATGAAAGAGAATTCTAGTACGAAACGAATTTAGATGTTGGTACGTTCAAGTCATTCAACTCGTATTCGACTTTTCTTACCATTAATTTATTTGTTAACGAGTCTTGACCTTCTGTTATTTTTAAAAACAGATTATGTTATACCCAAAGAAGTATAAAAAATTTTAATAGTAGACCTTTATTGTAAAAATAAGTAGGATAAACTCATATCTATATGTACATGATATTAGGATAGTCACAAAAATGTAACAAGTCATGGGAATTCTTCTTTCATGAAATGTCTACAAATGCAAAATATCTGTTAATATATTCTTTAAAATGCATATATAAATTGCCTGCAGCATCAACAAGACACTTAAAAATTCGTAGTTGACCCGTAAATGTTCGTTATTATCAAATAGATATTTAACTTTCTTTTGATGTTGTTTAAAATCTCATTATTAACTATGTGTAAAAAATTATGAAATCGTTTTGCTCTTGGAAGATTGTTTTACTCGTTAAAACTGCTTTTCAGTTGCAATAAAAGATATAGAACTCTTCTATACATTTGTGCCAAATTACTACAGTGTGACTGAATTCTTCTACATTTACGTCAAATATTAAGGTTTCTTTTTTATTTTAAATTCGCGGATTGTCGAAATGCCTTCGTAAATGCAAGTAGAGACGATAAAAGATTTCCTTTAAACATTTATACGATTTGAGTTTAAATTGAAAGTCAGAATTGGACATTTATATCGAACATCGCAGGGATCGATCGCAACGAGCAATGACTCTCTTATTCAAGTTTCGGATAGAAAAAATTGACTTCACGTTCATCGACAAATCAAAGAATTTATGACTTTTAATGCTTTTTGCTACCATGTAGATATATGTAAAAAAATAATCCGGCTACACTTGTAGTATTCAAGTCGGAAAGAAAGGAGTGAAAGTTCTGAGCTGTTATGAGTAAACAAAAGTGAAATCGTAACGCGAATATATTTTAATTGTAAATTGTCTGTAAATCCAGTAGAGCACAAAATGTGTATAAGTACAAGTACGAGTACAAGCTTACCACGTTTCGTGCCGAATTTGGTTTTTAAAGTCGATAGGAGAGTGTGGTACAAAGAGAAGTTACATCGTTTTCAGTATTAGAGTATCGTTCAGTATTAGATATGTTGTTTTTAATATTAGAATATTTTTCTGTATCCTCTTACGAAACACACAACACACATACACGTGTGCGTGCGCACGTGCAAAGTTACACACACGCACAGATTCATAATGTTGACCGAACAATAGTTCTTTGTAATTGTAACATGGAACTTCTTTGGGCTTCTTAAAACTTCTTGTAACGTCTTCTTATCCATGATCCTGTGAAATATAAATTATTAGCAAATAAATAATTTCTTCTCATTGCTGAATATATAAAGTGAAGTATCATTTGAAAGTGAAGCGATCCGTCTTCCTCGTCGTTGAGTTGTACTTTAGTTGTATATTGTTTAAAAGTAAAGGTCCTTTTGATTTATCGTTGATTGCGAGCTCAAGTAGAAACTTGTGACTGCTTGTAACGTAGATCTTGGAATTAAACTAGATATTGGATATTATCCGAGCAGATATTCGAGAATCAGGATTACGAACTAAAGATTGAAACGTGTCCAATCAGGCTAAAGCAGGCCAAAATTGAAACTAATTGATTCGTCGAATTTTAATTTCTAATTCACAATTCTCAATCTCTCCAATATCCAGTCTGATACAAGCTTTAGACTCTTTTCCCTAGATGATGCTGAGCAGTTCGTTTTACTTTTTGAAGTATCTTTTCCAATGTCACTCGTTTTATGCAATAATTAAAAGAAAAAATCTCAAAGAGAGAATCGCAATTTATATCATATATAATTCACTTTATGCGTGCACGTATGTATATATTGCGATAATATCAATCAATATCAACCAATATCAATTATAAAATTATTTTATTTATCGCAATAAATTGCACCATTCCATACGTAATGTACAAAATTTATTTATTAATAAGGTAACGGACGTCATAATAATGACGAGAACGTCGTTATTAATATATGAATTTTATTTCATAATTAATCTGTACGAAGAGCATCACGTTGCGTTGCATCTTCTTGAACCTTCGCCTTTGCTTTGTGACGAAGAGCACGACCTCTTAAATTGAGCATTGTCCTTGTTACTAGCCACACCGTGCCCGCTTCGCACAGATAACAAAAAGCATTCACGAATCCGACAAACAAGGAATGAGGCGGATAACCAGTCGTGCGCGATTCTATGCCGACCGTTTTCAACGACGCCTCGACGAATTTTTCCGGAGTAGGTGCCATCCATGTTGATCTCCTAAAAATGCACGGAATATTACGTATGAACATTAAAGAAATCCACTGAAATAAGAACACAACACGCGTGACAATTGACAATAAGGCACACGAGTTTCGGAATACTTTATTTATATAGGTAGACAAGTGATTGTTACCTGATCTTTGACATCTTCGTAGCTACAGGCCCAGGAGAAACGCATTGGACAGTGACTCCTCTTGGCGCCGCTTCTACCGCTAAATCGGCGCTGAGTTTGTCGATGTATGCTTTACTGGCAGCATAAACAGACAGATAAGGACTCGGCATACTGCCCGTTGTTGAACTGATGTTTATCACCACGCCTTTCTTTCTCTCTAGCATACCGGGTAGTAAAGCCCTTGCGACCCCTGTTACGCCAGCCACGTTTAATTGCAGTATCCTCGCGAGAACTTCCTCCGACACATTTGTAAACAATTCGGGATGATCGTAACTCGCGCCGGCATTGTTAACGAGGACGCCCACCTGTCGAAGAATAATTTTATATGAGGAGAGGAAGAAGAACAAGGAAATTTTTTTAGAGTAGAATATATATAGCGATTTTCATCTTTACATATATATAAAGAATGAAGTTCTTTTACTTTAGTTAAGAATAACTTAACTAAGTTAAAGACTTATTAAATTAAACTAGTGTAAATCAAAATAAAGGAATTCTTATAACTAAAGATTTACTAAAAGTATTTTTAGTATTTTTTTAATAAATCATTAGTTAAGACGAAAGCTTCTTTACTCCGATTTGTACTGGTTAATTTTTTTGTATTATTCTACCTATATTTTACTACCCAGTATTTTATGTGAAATATACAGAGTGTCGAAAAAGTACCGGAACGGCAAGATTACTCGGCGGCGGAGCATTTTAGAGAAAAATGTTTCGAATAAAAGTTGTAAGGCTTAAAAAGTCGCATTTAATGACAGTAGTTATTTGACCTAAGATGACGTCGCCAAGGTCAGGACAAGGTCAACTTTGCTTTTTTAAATAGAAATACATATTTTTTATTACAGCATTTTATTCTACGTGAAAAAGCAAACAACTTTTGCTTGAAAAAATTTTTTATACGACCTCTATTTTCTAAGATATTTACAAAATATCTACAAAATATCTACAAAATTATTGGTTTCAATAATTTTTTACTTGAATTCTATCAACTTTACCGAAAAATATCAAGAGATAAAAATTATTTATTTTGTTCTCATAGAGCTCTGAGAATTTTTTCAGAATTTTATATTAATTTTTTAGTACTGCATTTTCTTGCATTTTCTTGAAGTACTAAAAAGTTAACACAAAATTCTGAAAAAATTCTCAGAGCTCTTTGAAAACAAAATAAGCAATTTTTATCTCTTAATATTTTTCGGTAAAGTTAATAGAATTCAAGTAAAAAATTATTGAAACCAATAATTTTGTAGATATTTACGTAAATATCTTAGAAAATAGAGGTCGTATAAAAAATTTTTTCAAGCAAAAGTTGTTTGTTTTTTCACGTAGAATAAAATGCCGTAATAAAAAATATGTATTTCTATTTAAAAAAGCAAAGTTGACCTTGTTCTGACCTTGGTGACGTCATCTTAGGTCAAATAACTACTGTCATTAAATGCGACTTTTTAAGCCTTACAACTTTTATTTGAAACATTTTTCTCTAAAATGCTCCCCCGCCGAGTAATCTTGCCGTTCCGGTACTTTTTGGATACTCTGTATAATAATTATATATGATAGCATTACCTCCAAGTCCTCTGTCACTTTGGCGATTTCTGCGTAAACCACCTGACCTTCGGTTAAATCAGCCTCCACAATGCGGGTCTCGACCCCGTATTTCTGTTTGATTTCGGCAGCCACGTCTTTCAGTTTGGATATGGATCGCGAGACTAGGACGATGTCCAGACCCTTTTCGGCAAGCGCTTTGGCGAACGCTTTTCCAAGTCCGTCTGTCGCACCGGTTACTACTGCCCATTTTCCTTGTGTTCGTAAATCAATTCCGAATCCAAGATTAGGGGCGATTAACTTCTTCCACATTAGAATAGTGGCTTTTATAAAAGTCCTCAAACTGACGAGCACTATTATCACTAATAATATCGCCTCCCACCATGTTAACGCCATCCTACAATTATAATAATAATGATAACAATAACAGCAATGATAATCATAGTAGTAGCAGTACAGTAGGTAATTAATATATATTTGATTGCAATATTATATTTTATCAATCGGCGACTTGTTGACAATTCACCAAGTGATGAAGTATAATATAGTATCAATTCGTAAATGTTCACCTTATTCGAACGATTCAAGACGAATGAATCGAAATCTTAATGCACGCGGTTGTGCGGCTATATAAGACACGGCCGAATTTGCAGTGTCAGCAACGTGAATTTTGATATCAATCGATGTATGCCAGTCATTGCCAGCTAAGTTAATGTATATGCAATTAGCTGATACAATAATCGCGCGTGTATATGTATACTGTGTATACGTGTATGCGTATGCAAATGTATATACTGAATGCCGAAGCAATTTATACTTGCATTTTTAACGCGTGTACGTAGCAAATATTGTAGCAACTTATACTTAAGAACGAAATAGTGAATAGATATAAAGGTGAATACACATTTGTACATAATAGATGTATCCAATATTTATAAGTTACGTATATAAATATACATGTGTGTAGATACGAGTAGTATATATATATATATATATATATATATATATATATATATATATATATATATATATACCAGATAAGTCACGAAAACTAGAATACCTAAATATTTTTGTTATGTTTGAAGATAGGAGAAAATATCTAAGAGACCTTGAACTGTTCGAACGGAAATTACGGTACATACGGTACATACGGTATAAATAACGGTTGTGTGCGCTCAATAAAAAAAAGTAGCTTAGTGAGCGTTTTGCCAGCAGCTTCTGTCATCAGCTTCACAATTATTATAAGATTTTCTGCTGAACGACACGCGATTTTTCAACATGTTTATCAAACGGTCACCATTCTTTTTAGCATGCTTTTAAAATACTGAATTGCTTAGTAAATATGTTGAATACGCATATACCACAAAGTGTTGTTCAATGAGAAAAACAGGCAATGCGGCGCAAAATACTGAACGCTTTTTCCACTAAACGCAGCTAACTTCTTTCAAGGAGATTTTCAAGGATATTTTGAAGTATATCTTAATTTTTTTACGGCATAGTTCTTTTACATAGATTTCCAATAGGTAAAAATAGACAAAAATGACTAATAAAACGTTATTGATCGTTCTATAAAAGTACTTAAATAAAATTATCGAAAAGTTGATATTTCGCGAAATATTTTACATTTCACTTTGGTACTTTCCAATATCAAGATATGAAATCTTTTGTATTCATTTTATGACAACCCCGTTTAATACTTTTGTATGTAGAATGAAGAGAGAAATCAATTGGTGATACTAATTTTTTGCACATTAATGTATCGATAAATTTGTAAAATGCACGAAATTTTGTTTAAAGTCTCTGTATGTTCTTTTTTTACGACTTTGCACGTCATTATACATATAAAAGTATTAAGGTAAAGTTATCGAAAATTAGATACTCTGGGAGATATTTCATACTTTGTACTGATCAGGATAAAAAATGTAAAATGAAAAATGTACTCAAAGAAGTATTGACTTTTCGATGATTTTACTCCAGCACTTTTATGTGTTGGAATAAGCCAGAGTAATCGACTTATTTTACATTAGTTATATATGGTCTCTTTTAAAATATTAAAGTTGACCATGACAAGGTACTTCTCAGGATCATTTCAATGTCAAATAAATGTCTTTCATCTTTTCTTCCCCTAGAAGTCTCACAACTTTCATCCGAAATACTTTTTCGTATCTTCCTTAATTTTCGAGATATTCAGTTCTATCAATTACAATGGCACATTTTGTATAATTTGATTTAAGGAGACCCTTTAAGGAATTTAGGGGAATTTAAGGAATGGAAATACATTGTTCGATTCATCCAATAGAAAATAGTCTAACACAACAGTGCTCATGCTGCAAAATTTCATCGTAATACAACTTTCTCCGACGCTTTTATAGTCGAATGCGCGGCGATCTGGCGACGGTACTTTCTCGCTTTCTTACCTTATTTGATTCTTATTGTACTTCGATATTTCCGGTTCCAAATAGTTGACGTCCCAAGTCTTCTTGGCCGTAAATATAAAAGTCACGATCCCGTGAACAATAGAACTTGTCAAACACTTGCGCAGCTTGTCCGAGAATTCTTATCAACGAATGTGAAGATACCGAGCTTCCTTAACGATAACAATACGTCGCGTTAGAATCGGGGGGCACCAGAGGGAACGAAGGTCAAGATCGACAAGAGCGTCGCGGAAAGGTCGAAGGAATGAAATAAAACGGCTCGAGTAAATAGGGCATTGTAGAAAGGTGAAATTGTACCGTGAAAGGGTGTCGTGGCGTTAGAGACCGGTGCGCTCGAATACCGTTGCCGCAATACTGCTAGAGGAAACGCGGACGCGATCGATGTTGCGGCGTCCGGCGTGGTGTTTCCTCCGGTGCGCGCGCGCGTGCACGCGGTCGCAATGTCACGGCTGAAATATCGCAGCAAGTATGGTCAGCTTGATGAAGCGTCCGAGGAAAAGAGGATATCACGAATGTGAGTTCCTCGGGCAGAAGAACCGTTAATGTGCTGGCGGGAGAAAGGGGTCGCTCTTTCTATGACATACTTTGCGCATCGGCGGCAGTCGCGCAGCTCTCGCTCTGTCTCGCCCCGCTTCAATCCAAGTTAATTAATAAAAGATTAGCAGAAAATATTGAATTAATTCTTATTTCATTACTTTTCGCATGGAGATGAACGTTTGTCCTCGTGCCATATGCATTTATAATTTTTCTTCGCGTAGATATCGCTAGTTTTGATAATGAAGTATTAGTTGACATTAATTTATTTTTGTAGCGAAGATAACGATAAGATGGCTTCATTTGTGAAACAAATGCATACCCAAGTAAGAATTTACTACTGGCATCAAAGTGGCCCAGTACTAATTTATGGTAAACGTTATTGGCATAGTACCAGATGCTAGTACGGGTTTAGTATTGGTATTACCATAGAAGGAGGGCGTATTAGGTGCCGGCGGGACGCCGTGCGTTCGAGATCTGCGTATCTTTTCGTTCCAAAGAGAGAAAAATATCAAGAATTTTACTAGGCTGGGATTCGAACCCGAGTTTTTCACTTGCCGGGTGACTGCTCTAAAACCACTGAACTACCTGACGCTCCACGCTCACGACACTCTCGTCTCCCTAGATAACGCTCAGTATTAGTGTGATACTGAAATAGAAAAGGGCAAGTATCGGAAAACAGTACTGTACCAGTATAAAAAAAAAAGTATTGATTCCTAGCACTGGGGAAGTACCTATTCCCAGTACTGAACCAGTATCGATTCCTAGTAATTTTTATTATTTGTACAATTAATATCACAACTATATAGTACGGAAAGAAAGATCAGACCATGGCCGGGCTGCTCTCGTTTGTACCTATACATGTCTATTTTTAATAATCATATGAGAAAACAATCTTCGGGACGACGGCTGGAATCGAACTCGAGTCTTCCGCTTGTCAAGCAAGCGTTTTTACTACTGAGCTATCTAGGTTTTGCATTAGTGATCTCTTCCGTTTTGCCATAAAAAACATTAGTATTGTTCGTTTTTCGGTACCGACACAATATTGGCCCAATATCCTCTATTGGCAAATTGTATACTATTCTTACTTAGGTATCTAGTACTGATTCTACGAATAGGGTCAGTACCAATAATACAGCTTTTTTAATACTGAGCTAGTATCGAAAACGCTTTTCGGTAACGCCTCAGCAGTACGATTATGTAACTCGTTAAATGCAGTTAACGATAGATGTTGTATCGTTGCGCAGCTTTTCTACGGTATAGAAAAACTGCAACGATAACGAAACTGTCGTTAACTGCATTTAACAAGTTACATAATCGCACTGCAGTACACTTACGGTACAATTATCCAGTATCCAACCTTAGTACGGAGCTAGTACCAACAATTCAGCTTTTTTATATTAGGCCCAGTATTGAGCCAGTACCAAAACCGGACATCCGCTTATCGACCCAGTATCGGACCATTTTTTCGTACTGGCGAAACGTATACGATTTCTATTTGGGTATAAGCGAAACATTGTTGTCTTTAATTTATTTCGTTTATGTACAAAAGATACACTTTATATACATGCATACTCGTAAGTATACAAGTTATTATGTTACAACAACCCTGTAAAAATGACGAAATCACGAATGAATGAGTAGTGTCTCATACATTTCAGAACATGAATATAATGGCATATGTGGGAAAACTTGATTATAAGTATACGCTTTTTCTCACTCTCACTTTCTTACATTTCTACACATACACACTTTCTCTTTCTTTCGCATCATATATCATGATTATATAGGAAGGCAATAAAGATAAAAGATTGATTTTATCATTTCTTACTCTTTCTTCGCGTTACTCGATCTATTTTTCAGAATTCCATATAGTAGAACAATGTGGCACAGGTGCAAAGCTGCACTACTGAAAACTGTACTTGGATATGTGTTCCAACATAATTCTATCACGCCTAAGATAGTCAATTTAAAGGCAGTCTTATAGTGGGTGCACCATGCGATATACGGTAATGTATGATAGTACCATATGTAAAATTGATAATGCAGTGACCTGCTAAACATAACACCGATGAAATTTGCAACAAAGAAAGGATAGATAAATAACTGGCTCACTGTTGATGTATCTACTTTCTCTTTACTACGGAGCTGAGGTCTCAAGTTTTTCTCAACAAGTTTCAATGTTGCGTATGATTTCATATAAGTGGTCCAATTGGATGCACAATAAAGCAATGTTAAGACATGCAAAAGTAACAAAGAAATATGAAAGTATGGATGAACAAATATATCTTTTGGTAGGAATCGCCAGTTTACAGTCCATTTATATTCAAAAACTCTACCCAAGTCGAAGGAACCTTTTAGATATGCAATTGGGTTTTCTAGCAAAAATGGAAGGCCAAGAATCAACTGTACAAATGCACAAACAGATAAGTGTATCAATGTTTTGAACTTGCCTAATACACACAGATACGCGATAAGAAGCGCCGGAGCAAACAACAATATGTTCATCTTAACTGACACGGCGAGACTATATAGCACGCTACCCAAGTACCAACGGTTGTCCAAGAACGCATTGATACTCGCGAATAACAGCACCATCGCTACGGGATCGTTGAACAGTCTCAAAATAAATATCGAATGTATTCGATAAGAAGTGCAACACATCAGAATGAGAACGTAGGGTGGCACTTTTTTGGTCCTCGCGTAAATTCGAAAGACCAGAGTCAACGTGATCACATAGAGAGCCGCGAACAAATATTGCGCCGTTCTCATCTCCGTGCCGTGCGAGGTTATGTAGTACAAACCGGAGAAGACGTAAACGAATCCGGCGGGATAAACCAGCGGTCCGGTGTCACCTCTCAATTTCGAGTAATCGAGGGTTCCGTTGAGGAAACCCTCGATCTCCTGCATGTACGCCTTCCAGTCGATCTCTGTATATGGCACATTTCTGATAACCAGCACATTCAACACTATCTCCAAGATGATGAACGATATCGCCGTCGCCGGCAGTCGTCTCGGCTCGGTTAGCAGAGAAACGAGATATCGCCATTCCAAATGATCTGCTACCCAGTTCTTCCGAGTTTTCTTTGAAGAATTTCCCGAGTTGACATTAACCCTACTTTCTTTGCGTGGCGCCATGTTGCCCTGCGATACACGTGGACAACAGCTGTGCCGCGAACGTCATTTCCTCCTCGCGCGTCATGTGTTCAGCGGAAGTGACGTGTTCACGTCTACTTCTACAGAGGGCGCGTTGAGGGAAGAGCGTCTACAAGAAATTCTTATGACACATGATCGTTCTCAAGGGGAGCGTCCCGATTGACCACGGTACGATTGGACACAACCAACCGATGAAAAGAATTATCTAGTGAATTACTAGGTCGAACCAATCATTACAATCTGTGTCCAATCGTGGTCAATCGGGTCCCACCCGTTCTCAAGCTTCTCTCTGTTATTATGGCTTAGTGCTCAAAACGTAGAACTCTCTTTTCTTGGAAAAAGATAACAATAGTGTGAAACTGACAATTGTTGTAAAAATTGTACTGGTGTTATCGAAATCGCTCGATAGAAAATACTTGTGAATCCATTTGCTATATTTTAGAAAATCGATTACGTACTTCGACATATATTCTTTATATTTCTTAATAATTTCAAATGTCTACACGGTATATGAAAAAAGTTTATGGCGGCGATGTGATCGCAGAAAAAGATCACAATAGCGCGAGTGATACAGATATTTCAGTAACTAACGGCACGAAGTCTAAATCCTTCAACGTTTTCGATGTGGTATGTGATGATAGATATGCAGTAATTATGGGTGTAATCTCTACTCCGATCAGACTTCAAAGTTCTAGCAGGGTTATGACGTCATTAAACATGTATATCCTTAGTCCAAACAGATTTAAAAGATTTAAAGCCTATAAAACATCAAATAAATTACATCTCGAATCTATTTATAATATCCTTTCTGAATGGTAATGACACTGGAAATTTGTATCCACAGTTACATCAGAGTTCTGACAATGATAGTGAAAATACCAATGATAAACAAGATGATGAAAATATAATTCCAAATGATGCAAATGACAATGAGGTAAAACGCAAGAAAAAGAAAAAGAAACGTAAGAAGACAGAGAATATTAAGAATCAACAACAGCAAGATGTAGAGTTTAACAAAAATATAGATGAAATTGAACAGAGCATATGGGAAGTAAACCAACTGCTCGGAGAGCCAGTACCAGGTTGCAGTAAACAAACTTCTGAACCACAATGGATCAATGAGATATCTAAAGAGGATATATTGACTGTAGAACATAAACACTTAAATCCATATAATGAATTGAAAAAAATCTTTGGTAGTAAAACTATACAAGCTGAACGAAGGTACAACTACATAATTATATATCATTGTATCTCCTAATAATTCTTAAAGATGCTATTTTAAGTTTTTGTCATTTACATGCATATATTCAATAATATATAGATAGCAAATGTTCATTACTTTATAAGCTTATATTGACTATAAAAAATGTTATATTCTCATAGCAAAAGAAGAAATAGAAATCGTTCTGGTCATTTGAAGAAAACATGGTTAGTCTGTCCTCGAGATAATTGGCCACCAATTGGTAAATCTGGATTATCAATGTCTTTAGATTATTCCATGCAAAATACAGGAAATGTACAGTATTTTGTGTATGAACATAGCACTTCGTACAAACAGATACAACTGAAATTCTTGCAGGCTGTTGAAAGCTTGAATCCAGAGAACATAATTGTAAGTGAATATATGATAGTAAACATATAAGGTAGGTAAAAGTACCAATGCCTGGACACATACCTAGCATGTACCTAAGTCTGGACATGCTTGTTATTTTAGTTTTAAAATATTGAAATATCCAAACTTTCAATATAGAATATATATATATATATATATATATATATATATATATATATATATATATTTTATGTTTGAAGATTAAAAATTTGTATTTAAAATTGATATACTCGTATTTAAAATCAAAACAACAAGAATGTCCAGAATTAGATACATACTTGGTACGTGTCCAAACATTGGTACTTTTATCTTACTGCAAAGTTCTAAAAATGTAATCATTGTTTTTATCTAAATATTTCATATAAATATTAAGTATATTTCAGAGCTTAGTAAATGCACATTCTTACCATGTAGATGCTCTCCTACAGTTAGCTGAACTCTGTAAATTAAGTGAAGATTTAGCATTGGCAGCAGGATTTATTGAACGGGCTTTGTATTGCTTAGAATGTGCATTTCATCCATCCTTCAATATGATATCTGCACAGTGTAGATTAGATTACTGTAAACAGCAGAATCGTGCACTGTTTATAACACTTTTTAAACATCTTGAGTTTGTTGGCGGACGAGCTTGTTATAGGTATGTATTACAATACATGATTTTAAAAAATATTGAGTTCAAATAGTAAAAGGAAATTGTATTAACATTTCAGAACAAGTTTGGAATTTTGTAAACTTCTTTTATCATTGCATCCGGATGGTGATCCACTGGCAGTAGTTCTGTTTATTGATTTTTATGCCTTAAGAGCTAAGGAATATGAATGGTTTATAAAATTTTGTGATCTGTGGGAAAGCACCAGGAATTTAACTCAGTTACCAAACATAGCATATAGCCTGGCCTTAGCACACTTTCGTTTAGGAAAGAAGGCTGATGCTGATGAGCTTTTGCAGAAGGCTCTTATTATGTTTCCAGGTGTACTGATGCTTTTACTTGAAAAATGTAGCATACAGACGGACAGCAAGGTTTGTAGAATTTAAGACTTCTAGTTTCTAAACAATAATATAATTATAATTATATATATATTATACAGGAAAAATTTATACTACACTTTAATATAGGTTTGATAAGAAAACAGGAGTCTTAAATATATTTTCTTTAGTTATTTTCCATATAATCAGAAGAAGGAGGGCGTACTAGGTGGGATGCTGTGCGTTCGGGAGCTGCGTTTCTTTTCATTCCAGAAAGAGAAAAATATCGAAAACGCGGTTTGTTAGACCGGAACTCGAACCCAAGTCTTTCGCTTGCCGGGCGACTACACTAAACCACTGAACTACTTGACGCTCCACGCTCATGACATTCTCCTCTCCCTAGATAACGCTCAGAAATGCCGTTCGGAAGCGACATCTCCGGCGTTATCCCGAACGCACGGCGACTATAGAGAGAAACATTGTTATTGTACCAAATGTCAAGTCAAAAGTTGCGATCCTTTAAGACCTGCTATGTATGCCCGTCTCCACCGTTGCTTCTCCTCATCTGGTGTAAATTATAGAAAAAGCCCCGGGGCCGACACCAATTTTTTGGCAGCCCCCGGATGCTTGGACACGTTTCGCAACGTGCGAAACGTGAGGGGGGTTCCACTTATTAAAGTTATTTCTTAGTTATGCTGTACCAAAATACATTACTTATTGATATATTTTGTTTATTAGGTGATGCGTCATGATTTCTTTAATTCTCAAGCACAAGCAAGTACGTCACCAGCTTTGGAAAAGTTACAAAATTTGTACGTAGCACGTAGCTTTCATTTATGGAAGGAGGCAGATATTTTACCATGGTTAGAAACAAATGTGCACACTGTGCTAAATCGTGTTGAACTTAAAGATGATTATGTTAAATACTGTCGAGTAAAGCGTAGTAAGAGATATCAAGGGAAGTTGCCAAAAAACGTCTTGAGACATATTATACTAGCAGATATGAAAGAAGTTATAGTTAATGTGCAAGAAGTATGTACATATTTTGCATATTACTAATATATTATGAAACATGTATCATAGAATCTGTTGAAGCATGTATATTGCTCATTCTAGATCCAAAATGAAGGACCAGTGTTGTCACATGATCCATTGCCACCCATAGACAGTATTGATATCTACAGGAGGACTACAACAAATGACAGAACAGCTCAAAGTAACTCAAACTTCTTTTCTCTTTTTTTCTCTTCATTATTTACGGGTATTGATGAAGTAGCAGCTGATGCTTTAAATGGTTTATATCTGTTGTAAGTATATATTTAAATATAAAAATAAAATATATAGCATATATACAATAGCTTGATTAAAAGTTGTAGATATATATTTACTGTCCTAAAAAAAATTGTAGCTATTAAATCTTTTCTTATTAAGCATTAAAAAAATAAACTATTAATTACATATTATAAGTTAAGTATTAGTATATACATAACTAATTTGCAATTGAATAGTTAGATAATAATAATTTTTTTATTCAGTGAGGAGAATGATGATCATGCACAATAATCACACGGAGTCAAATGATAGTAAAATGTTTAAATACGATTAAGACGATTAAAACTATGGTAAAACACAAATCACATGAAACTTGATAAAAAAATGATTAAAAACAATTAAAACCACTAAAATGTATGTGGACGGTAAAACACAAATTACGTGAAACTTAATGGTAAAACGATTAAAACGGCGATAAAACAGAATATGCAGCTTCATATGTAACAACTTTAACAACGTACAAGAGACGATAATTTCAAAATTATTCTATTATAATCAAATGATTCCTAAATTTGTTGTTTTCTTCTGTACAGATAAAAATAACAGAATTGTTTTGTTAAAGTTCTTCATTATCAAAGTTGATCATTAGAAAATTAAGTTACTTCAAAATAATATATATTGCATGTAATATTGTATTATTGTGTAGCAAGACATTAAATATTGGTTAATTATTGTAACAAATCGATTATTACATATAAATGTTTTTATACAACTTGTAAATATAGTAAATGTATCTATACAACAGTAAATAAAATATACAGAATAAATCCTATATACGCCTTTTATGTATATGCATGAATGTTTTATACAAGGTGTAATACAAGATGAAATAGATAATTGAATGTTAGAAGTGTATTCTACTCAAATTAAGGATGAAAAAAAGTTACATAAATATAAATTTGGAGATTATTCTTTTCTGAGATAACAAATATCTTTTCTTTACGGAATTTAACAAAAAAATAATCTTAAACTTCTAAATCATACTGTTGTTTCATCCTCAAAATCAGCAAAATATGCTTTTGAAGTTATCTATTTCAGTTATGCCTTGTTATGTATATCATATATAATATCATCATATTACATACAAAAAAATTAGGATAAATATTATATTAATACTTATAATTGTAAGATCATATGCTTTTTAACATAATTTTGTAAGTAGAAGAGAAATTGTTCTTATAAACAACTTAAAATGTTAAAATCTTTGTTTAGTATGATTTAAAGCCAAAAATAAATTATCAAAGTGTTACCGCACATTTCACAGATAAAGATATTCATTAAAAATGATTTCTCAATCGACATGTTCATATCATTTATTGCATCCCTTACACCATACTGTGAAACACGGGATTATAACGACAAATTCCAGGGCCATACTCTTGATAAGCTTTCTTCGTGTGACACACTGTGTAGAATTCTGGATCACTGGCTAGTAATGCACCGCCGTACCACACAGCACAACGCTGTTTGTGATGCGAGATCACACGAACATCTATCGGTTTTGGCTGAAATATAAACATAAATAGTTTAATAGATATTGCTTTATGAATCAGTGAAAGAGTAAGTATCATGATAATTACCGTAATATGGCTGCCACTTAGCGTCTCACTAAGCTTGAGGCGTGTATCAACAATTTTTTTGATGTCACGCTGCAACCTTCTACCGAAATCCTTGAACATAGTAGAACCTCCTGATAACACGATATTACTATACAACGGTCTTCTGACATCAATTGGGCAGTTTTGAATTACATCGTCGACAATCTCATTAAGTGGTGTTGTGAAATCTGGATTGGAAAACTGAAATGTTTTCGTATATAGAAACGATGAACAAGTTGATTATGTGAATCATAAATTAGCAGTCGCATATACAGCAACATACTTCAGGATGGAAGAATATTTCCGGTCCAAGAAACCTTTCGTATCCGACGTCCACGGCGAAAGGTTGCTTAGTGATGCTATTAACACCTTCGTATTTTTTAATTTTCGTGGGATCACTATCATATTTGGCAAATTCCTTCGATATATCTGGACATATATAACAATACTTCTCTTTGATTGCTTTGGCAGTTTCTAATGATTGCTCAGGTGGTATTCCAATCTCTCGTTCCCTCAGCAGGCTTTGTATAAAATAAGTGATATCACGACCCGCGATAGGAATGTGTTTTATGCAACTCCCTATGACAAAACCTTCCGCCTATAAAACACAATATTCATTGTTATTGCGGACTTTATCAGCGCAATCTTGTAAAATAAGACTCAACAATAAATTTGTGTACATACTACTGGAATTACGTGAGTCACACCATCTCCACTATCGACAACAACGCCTGTTAAAGTACGATCATCTACATTTTTGGCAGTCCATGAAGCAGCTAATGCGAGAACAGCTTGTACAGCTATGTAAAGTCCCGGTACATTGAATGACTCAAACATAATTTCTGCCGTATATTCTCGATTTTCTGGAGTGTTTAAGGGTGGTTCTGTTAACAGAAAGTAATGATCTTCAGGTTCCGACCTGAGATACTTGAAAATACATTGTTGCAAAAACTTCTCCATCAAATCCCAATCTTCCACCAGTCCATGTCTCACAGGATACTACGTGCAAATTGAAAATTGAGAAATATAATTATTAAATATCCGTTATTAAATATATAAATTTGCTTATTGTGAGGATACTTTGTAGATAGCTACTTTAACCGAGTATCCAGTAGCTTCGAAAGCTTCATCTCCAATATAAGCATCCAGATCTTCGACACCTTTTGTAATCCTTCTTGCGTTATTATCACCCACTTTAGCTGTTTCTTTAATAGCAATTGCTGAAGGTATAGTCAGCTGAGGTTCTTTGTTACCAGCAAATCCTAATTTTGTGTATCTGTAGATACACAATAATGATTTTTGAGTAAGCTAACAAATGTAATATATTATATATATTTTATTATAAAGCCAAACAGGATTTCTATTATAAGAATTAGATATTCATGAATCATCAGAGAGGTGCGGTCATTGTGCTTTATCAAGTGTTTATCTACAGTACATGTCGGTGACATATCAATCGGTTTCTAACCTTAATTAGCTCCACCCTAAATCGACCTTCTACACATATTTTCTATCACTTTAGGGATTATACTTACCCAGTACCTACGTCAATGACGCACGCAGGTAAACGCCCGAGCATATTTGCAATTTTACTGTATTATTACGGTAAAACAGACTCGAACTGACAACCCGTACCTAACCATCGAAAAGCTAACGCAATCAGAGAGAAGCCTAATATAGCATCTACACCGGTGTTTTTAGCTGCACTAACGACATCTAAAGGTGCCAATACATGGGAGCGTTCCAGCGTCGAGCGTTAAAGCGTTAGCCAATCAACATATCAGGTCCCAGAAGTATACTTATAGTTCTTGCGGAAAGTGGCACGTTGATTGGCTACCGTTTTAATGCTCGATGCTCGATGCTCCCATGTAAAGGTACCTTAAGGTTTGTTTGCGTCGCATGCCCCAACGTGCTCCTACTCGCTCCAACGTACTCTGATTGATCCGCGTGGTGACGTGAACCAATCAGAATGCATTGGAGCGAGTAAAAGCACGTTGGGACATGCGACGCGACAAACATAATATTTCTAGTAATAGATTGCACCCGGATGAGGAATCTGAACGCAGCCTAGGGATGCTATTCCGTTACCGTGGTTCCGACAGTTGTCGGATCGGTAGGCGTCGTTGCGCAGTTTTTCACGGTATAAAAAAAGCTACGCAACGACGCCTACCGATTCGACAGCTGTTGGTACGCGGGAACGGAATAGTACCCCAGTACACTGTAAAGGTGCCAATTCATGGGAGTGTTCCAGCGTCGAGCATTAAATCGTTAGCCAATCAACGAATCATATCCCAGAAGTATATTTGTAGTTCTTGCGGAAAGTGGTACGTTGATTGGCTACCGCTTTAACGCTCGATGCTCCCATGTAAAGGTACCTTAACAGTATCTAGTTCCATCAATGACGTCATGAATGGCAGCTATTTTGGCGGGTGTATATCAGTTGGACACGGGGCAATTGGACACAGTCCAATCACAAGTCGCTGTTCCAAGGGACCCTACAAATGTCTCTAATCACACGGTGCTGTGATTGGCTGTGTCCAAATGCACCGTGTCCAAGTGCACCGCTCCCATTTTGGCACGGCAACTATTGCGGGTGTATATCAGTTGGACACGGAGCAATTGGACACAGTCCAATCACAAGTCGCTATTCCAAGGGACCCTACAAATGTCTCTAATCACACGGTGCTGTGATTGGCTGTGCCCCCAAATGCACCGTGTCCAAGTGCACCGCTCCCAACTATTGCGGCGGCTGAGAAGGTCAAGCAGTTACAGTACAAATATGGCGACGAACAGCTCGATAGAAAAAGTAGATCTTTTAGATGTGGAAACAAATAACAGCACGCCAAGCACTTGCTCGTCCAACGTTAAATCGGTCGCAAACTGATCTG